AATAATAATAATAATAATAATAATAATAATAATAATAATAATAATAAATAATAATAATAACAACAACAACAACAACAACAACACGAAGTATGGTACAACAAGGCAGAGTTATTGCCCAAGAAAAGGAGAGAGAGAGAGAGAGGTAGTGATGGTTTTTTTAAAAAAAGGGTGGGGGGGCTGATCTAGAACAGGACAGAATAAGAGAATGACAGAATGACAGAGTTGGAAGGGACCTGGGAGGTCTTCTAGTCCAGCCCCCTACTCAAGCAGGAGATTCTTACAGAATCAGAGAAAAACAGAGTGGGAAGGGACCTTGGAGGTCTTCTAGACCCTGTGCCATTTTAGACATATTGTTGTCCAGACTCTTCTTAAAAACCTCCAGGGATGGAGCAACCCGCCACTTCTGGAGGCCAGCTCTTCTTCTGACTCCTTGTTCTCACTATCAGGAATTTTCTGCTTTGTTCTACGTTGGATCTCTTTCCCTCCATTCTTTCTCCCTGCCTTTCTGCCCGTCCTGCCACCTTGGGAACTTTAGTGGCAACCCTGCAAACTCGGCCATGTGAGCATGGATGGAAATGCAGGCCCAAAGAAAAGTGGTTTAATGAATGCTTTCACACTTTTATTTGTGGGCGAGTAAGCAACACCAAATTTGGTTTGAATGTATTAAGAGAGAGGAGACAGGTCTGCCCTTATGCACAGACCTCCTTAAAGAGTAGAAGACTCGTCTGTTGATGCCAGATCTTACTGCTACATACTCAGACTCTGTGCGAAAAACCAGCCAAGAAACCACGCAATTAACTAAGCTAAAAATCAGCAACATCTCTTGCTGTATTGTACCGTCTATTAATCAATCGGCATCAATACAGATAGTCCTCGACTTGCAACAGTGTGATGACCCGGGGGATGGCACAAAGGCAACACAGTCAGATCATCAGTAGGAGTCCCTTTATTAGCTCCAACTTTGCCCCCAATGTCCTGGTTAGCTTCTGGCTGGAGAAAAAACTCTCCCAGGAACAGCCTTTGGCTGCAGAGAATCAAGTCCAAAACGTGGTCAACAAAAACTGTAACTATAACTCCAATCAAGGCAAAATGAGATAATTGGTCTGGCAGGGCAGGAGACAAGAATTCCAGATGTGAAGACATGGCAATAACTCAACATGGTTGGGAAGTCACCAGGAACACGGGATACACAAAGGCAACACAAGATAAACTCACGATTGCTCCCAGCAGCTGCCGCACTCGGCATGCATCTCTTTTAAACTCTCATTCCCAGGTGTGTCTAATGAAGGGAATCAGGGCCCTTTCCTCCCCCGTAAGCCACGCAACCCACATTGCTCTCTTCTCCATTCCTCCCTGCGTGCCCTAGGATGAAGAGAGGATGGGCCTAGGTCTTCCTCTGAACCCCCTCTCCCTCGTTCTACCTCTCTCCTGCTCTGCCCAGCCTGACTTTGCCCTTCCCCAGTTTCCTCCACAGCCAACGGAGCCACATTCCCACTCCCTGTCAACTGTTCGTCTTCTTCCTCGGATTCAGACTCCGACAGGGGCAGGACAAACAGTTTGTTTAGTGACCTTTCAAAGTTACAACGGCACTTGAAAAAGGCAAATTACGGCCATTTTTCACAGTTACGACCTTTCCAGCATTCCTATGATGTCATCCAAATTCAGATGCTTGACAGCTGACGCACATTTATGATGGTTGCAGTGTCCCAAAGTCATGTTATTCCCCTTTTGCAAACTTCTGACGAGCAAAGTCAAGGGAAGAACCAGATTCACTTGATAACTGGGTTATTAACTTATCAGCTGCAGCAATTCACTTAACAACAGAGCAAAGAAAGGTCATAAAACGGGGCAAAACTCACTTCACAAATGTTCCACTTAACAACAGAAATTCTGGTCGTAAGTCGAGGACTACCTGTGACTGAAAGCATTCTCAGCATCCCTGGGCATTAGCCAAGGTGATGATGCTTCAGGGCATCTTGTCAAAATAAAAATAAAGATCACCTTACAAACATCTTATTTCACTGCAAAAATAAATAGTATGGGCATCTGTGTCTGCTTACACCTATTGCAGAAACAAACAGGACATGCATACATGAGAAGGATGGAGAAAATACTGAACTACAATAGCTTGTCAATGACATTGTTTCAGTTCACTATATTAAGTGATTTTTTAAAAAAAAGAACGATTGCTAATCTGGAAATAAATCTTTTTAATCTCAGATGCGGGAGGCTTTAATCTGGATTCTTGTCCTTTGCAAGGGATTTGCTTGAATAGCCTCTTTCAGATTTGGGATTATATTCCTCTACTTAATGTGCATAAACTGTGGGATGCATGATTTTTTTTTTTCTGAAGGAAAGCCGCTCTTCTGCAGATCTGACCTCTGAGGGGTGAGTGGGACCAGGATACAAATGAAACATGGTTTCACTTAGGCTTAATATTAAAATAAAATATGATTAGCATGTCTGCTTGTTGGTTGTTCATTTAATAATTTCCTCCCTCTGCTATTTGAGGGGGGGAAATAAATCACATTAGGAGCTACTTCTGGAGATTTCTGATGGCCACACTCCAAGAACCTTCAATGCTTATGCACGTCTTAAATGTGCAGGTGTATTTTATTTATTAAATTTATATGCCGCCCCATTCACTATCCAAAGCAAATATAGGCAGCTAAAGATTAAAAAGGTCTGGTTGTGCATGATGAAAAATTTACTTGGAAGTGATGCAGATCATAGCAACGTTGTCCTAGTTAAGTGCAGCAGCATGCTATTTCTGTGCTGATGAACATAGAATAATATGCTTGGGAGGAGCCTTGGAGGTTGTCTAGTCCAACCCACTGCTCAAGCAGGAGACCCCATACTATTCTACCTGTGTCTACATATCAAGCCTCATTTTATTCAAGAAATGACACTGACCTTTCCTGAGACAGCAATTATTCATACTCGTGCAAAAGCATAGATTTTGATCAGTTGTTCTTTGCAATACTGCGGCCAAATATTTTAAGCAAAGTTTTTGGGAAGGTGGCCCTGCTAAATACCTGTTCTTCAGGCAGAAGTCTTGCCTGGGAAATGTTCCTGTTTGAAGTTTTGGAGAACAGATTGGAACAGACCCTAGAGGTCTTTTAGTCCAGTGGTTGCCAACCGGTGGGCCGTGGCCCACTGGTGCTCCGCAAGAAAATTTTGGTGGTCTGCAGAGAAATCTCATCCCCAGAGCACACCCCCACAAAGCAATTAATCCAGGCTGTGCAGGAACACAAGGCTGTGCTGCCCACATGGCCCGCGGGAACCCTCCCCGCCCACTCACTACTTACCTGGCAAACTTGCCTGCTAAGTTGCTATTTTTTCTTTTTCTTTTCCCCGACCATCAGCTGTTCTGCTGTGCCGGGAGATTTAGATTAGCTAGAAAGCAGGAAATGGTTGGATTTCTTGCTTTGTAGCTAATCTTTAGATCTTTGGCTCTGCTTTTAAGCAGAGCCGAACCTTCCTTAAGACGGAAGGTTCTATTATTCAGTTGCAGACTCAGATAGCCGATGGCAGAAACACAGATCTCTAAGTGAATCTGTGATTCTGTGAGCAACTCAATCTGCCTGCCTGCTTTGCTTGATTTTGGGTAAAAGTTGCTCTTTTTTAATAAAAGAAATCAATATTTACATCAATATTTATAATATTTACATACAAGCCATGCCCAGCCAGTCACATGACCACCAAGCCACACCCAGAAATTAGGCCATCCCCAAGAATCGCTTGTTAAGAAATTTGAATCCCACCCTGCCTATGTGTGCTTGTGTGTATGAGAGAGAGAGAGGGAGGGAGGGAGAGAAGGGGGATCAGATCTCTCTCTCTCTCTCTCTCTCCCTCCCTCCCCCCCCCCCCCTGCCAGCACACCACCATCAGTCAAAATTCATATTAGTGGTCTCCGGGATTTAAAATTATGAGTTTGTTGGTCCCCGAGGTCCAAAAGGTTGGCGTCCCCTGTTCTAGACCAACCCTCTGCTCAAGCAGGAGATTTTATACCATTCCAGGCAAAAAAATTTAAAAAAAAACCCAGTGATAGAGCACCCACAACTTCTGGAAGCGAGCCATTCCACTGATTAATTGTTGTCGCTTTCAGGAAATTTCTCCCAAGTTCTAAATTGGATCTTTCTTCAATAAGCTTCCATCCATTGCTCCTTGTCCTACCCTCTGATGCTTTGGAGAATAGTCGACCCTCAGATCTCAACCAGATTTTGCCGATTTTCAGTTGCATGATATCTGCTGGAGAAGCAGAATGGCATTGAACTGAAGGCCTACAGGGGATTGGAAGATGCTTGGCGGCATCAACCACCACGAGCCTTGGCTTTCTGATTTAGGAAGTGAGTTTACACATGACAAATTTAACATGCCAGAATTCGACATAAGAGAATATAACAGTGCTGGAAGGGATGTCTTTTGGTTGTCTTCTAGTCCAACCCCCTGTTCAAGCAGGTACTATTTCACACAAATGTTTTGTCCAATTTCTTATTAAAAGGCTTCAGTGATGGAGCACCCACAACTTCTAACAGCAAACCGTTCCGCTGATTAATTGTTCTCCATGACGGAAAATTCTCCTTCGTTCTAGATAGGATCTCTCTTTGATAATCTTCCATCCATTACTTCTTGTCCTACCTTCTGGTGCTTCAGAGAATGGTTGACTTCTCGGTGACAGCTGGAAGACGGCTATCGTGTCACCCTTAATCCTTCCCTCCATTAGGCTAGACATAGCTATGGTAATTCCCTCTATTGTTCCATCATACAATTTAGCCAGTGGTGGGATTCAAAAATGTTTACGACTGGTTCTGTGTGCGTAGCTTGGTGGGCATGGCGTGGCTTGGTGGGCGTGACTTAGTGGGCATGGCTTAGTGGGTGTGGCAGGGGAAGGATACTGCAAAATCTCCATTCTCTCCCCACCCCACTAACCTGCTTTCCAGCTCGGTTCTCCTGTGCAGGGCAACCAAAGAAGACCCAGCCGATCAGCTGGGACTCAATGGGAGGCAGAGAAGAGATAGTGTTGACAGGGCCAGTCAGAGGTGGGATTTGCTGGTTCTCCCAACGACTCAAAGATTCCGCTACTGGTTCTCCAGAACTGGTCAGAACCTGCTGAATCCCACCTCTGAATTTAGCCTCTTGGCCCCTGATCGTCTTGGTTGCTCTTCTCTGCACCCTTTCCAGAATCTCAACCTCTTTTTTTTTTATTGTGGTGACCAGAACTGGATGTCGTATTCCAAGTGTGGTCTCACCAGTGCACTATATAAAGCGGTACTATCACTTCCTGTGATCTTGATGCTATCCCTCTGTGGATACAGTACCACATCTGTGTGTTTCCCCTTCTGCAGGTCCTTCTCTTACCCCAGACAAATCAGCCTCCACGTCATTTAAAGCCCACTCACTCGACGGGATCATGGGATTAAAAGCCTAACAGAAAGAAAGAAAGAAAGAAAGAAAAGATACTCAGCTTGCTTTGGGGTCAAATGCACAGCAAGGAACAAAATGTTTTTATTGTGACCCTTTCTTCATTCTCTCTCTCTATATATATATCTATATATTTTATTTTTATTTATTTATTTGATTTGTCAATTGCTTATAAGATAATAGGTATAAGTAAAAACATAATCATGAATATATGGATACATATAAGAAAAATAAGAAAAACAAAAGAAACAATAGGACAGGGATGGTAGGCACGATGGTGCGCTTATGCATGCCCCATACAGACCTCTTAGGAAAGGGGTGAGGTCAATAGTAGACAGTCTAAAGTTAAAGTTTTTGGGGTTGGGAAAGAAACCACAGAGTCAGGTAGAGTATTCCAGACATTGACCCCTCTGTTGCTGAAGTCGTATTTCCTGAAATCAAGGTTGGCACGGTTAACCTTGAGTTTGCATCTATTGTTTGCTCTTGTGTTGTTATGGTTGAAGCTGAAGTATTCATTTGCAGGTAGGACATTTCTATTTCTATATCATCTCTCTCTCTCTCTCTCTCTCTCTAAAATTTTCTGTTGTTTATATTAGTGCTTAATAAACATCATGTTGTCTGGGTATTTAATTTGCTTAACAATACAGATTCCATTTTTTTATTCTCCACCCCTTTTTTCCAACCACTGGTAAAATAAATTCCATGTTTGATAATATTCTGTGTCTTCTTTTGGTTTAATTTTCAGTGTACGTCTATCCAATCTAGTATCTTCCTAATTATCTCTTTGTCTCGCAGTGTTTTCTTCATTTTTCCAAATATTATGCGAATATGATCCTCGCTGCTGTTAAGACAGGCAATGTTAAATATATACTTTGCTTATTACGTTTATCTGGTATTATACCTAATAAAAGCAGTTCAGGTTTAAAATCTACATGTTTCCCTATCACCTTTTCTAACCACCTGTATATCTTTGCCCCAAAATTATTATTATTATTTTTTTTGCTTTTAACACAAACCCACCACATATGATAAAATGTGCCCGTTTTTGGGTTACATTTCCAACATTTACTAGACATGTTTTTAAATATTTTAGGCCCTTTCTCCCAGGGGTGGGATTTAAAAATACCAGCAACTGGTTCGTTGCCCAGTTGCTGGGTGGGCGTGGCCATGGTGGGCGTGGCCTACCAGAACTTCCAGGAGGGCCGTTTTTTAGCCTCTCCAGGGTCCAGAAGCCTCCCCCGGGCCTCTGGTAGGGCAAAAACGGCCTCCCCCGGGGTTCTGGAGGCCCTCCGGAAGCCGGAAACAGGCCCATTTCCGAACTTCCGGAAGGCCCGTTTTTCCCTCTCCCAGAGCCTCAATGTGGACCCTGCATTTACCTGCATCGCATGGACCCTCCTGGGAGGGGAAGGGTGAATGGGCCAGCCGGTCAGTTGAAATACCGGTTCGGTAAACAAGATGAAAACGTAACATCCGGTTCACACGAACCGGTCCGAACCGGTAGAATCTCACCCCAGTTTTCTCCACTCTAGAAGGGATGCAACAAACTGTTCACAAGCACAATTATAGGATGTTTCAGGAAGCCTTTGAATTGGCCATGCTTGTTCCGAGTTCGAAGCAGCGCTTGCAACTTTCCCACCAACCATCGTTATTAGAAGGCAGGAATTCCACTCTCTTAAATGCAGGTAGTCCTCGACTTACAACAGTTCATTTAGTGACCGTTCAAAGTTAGAACGGCCCTGAAAAAAGTGACTTATGACTGTTTTTCACAGTTACGACCTTTGAAACATCCCCACGATCATGTGATCAAAATTCAGATGCTTGGCAATTGGTTCATACTTATGACTGTTGCTGTGTCCCAAGGTCAACCTTCTGAAAAACAAACTCCATGGGGAAGCCGGATTCACTTAACAACCAGGTTACTAACTTATCAACTGCAGTGACTCACTTAACAGCTGTGGCAAGAAAGGTCATAAAATGAGGCAAAACTCACTTAAGAAATATCTCACTTAATAACAGAATGTTTGGGCTTAATTGTGGTCATAAGTCACAAGTCGAAGACTACCTGTAATCACACAGGTAGAACATCCTTGGTTTTTTTTTTTTAACCCCTCTTGTGGACATCTCTAACCTGATGTTTTTCAAACTTGGCAACTTTAAGACTTGTGGGACTTCAACTCCCAGAATTCCCCCAGCCAGCTTCGGGAATTTACCTCCAGAGATCTGTTGGTTTCCAGACTGTACTGCGGGTTTCTTAGGAAGATCTGAAAGCCTTCCAAATTCAGATCAGCCCCGTCCCAGAGATCAGGTATGACTGTTCTGAAGAAACATAAAAAAGACAGCTGTCCAGAAAAAAAATCAGGTGATTTTCAGATAAATCAGAATAGAGTTGGAAGGGACCTTGGAGGTCTTCTAGTCCAGCCCCATGCTCATGCAGGAGGCCACATATACCATTTCAGACATGTGACTGTCCAGTCTCTTCTTAAAAATCCCAATGATGAAGCCCCTACAACTTTTGAGGGCAAGGAATTCCACTAGTGAATTGTCCTGCCTATTGGAAAGTTTCTCCTTAATTCCAGGTTGCTTCTCTCCTTGATTAGTTTCCATCCATTGTTTCTTGTCCTGCCCTCCAGTGCTTTGGAGAATAAATTGACACACACACACCCTCTTTGTGGCAGCCTCGCCAACTCCCCCCAAAATCGCCCAAACTCACATGTATTTCAGTATTCTCTCCTGAAATTTTTCACCAGTTCCCAGATGTCAAATCTAGAACTAACAACGTTTCAGTACTCTAGTATGAAATAGGAGCATTCTGGCGTAAGAGCTTACCAAAAGCTTACAAAATTTCAATTTGTGAACAGGATGATCTCCAGCAGATCAGGGACAACAAAGGAAGCAGGAGTCAACTTTACATTCAGGATTTTGAGATCATCTCGTATGAAAATATACAGAGGGCAACCCCAAAGTTCTACAGGCAGTCTTCAAGTTATGACGGTTAACTGGGCAACAATTCAAAATTACAACTCACCAGAAAAAGGGGAGTTATGACCCAGATTTGAAATGTTGAGGGTCAGGGCCCTCTTCGTAATCATGTGACCAAACACCAGCCACTACATTTATGCACAGGTGGGATTCAAATTTTTTAACAACCGGGTCTGTGGCTGTGGATAAGTGGGCGTGGCCATGTGACTGGGTGGGCATGGCTTCTTCTGTTTTTGCAGCAACCACCCCTTCCCCCCGTTTTTTGCCAGTTCTGCAAACTTCGCAGAATCATAACAACCGGTTCTATAGAACCGGTTCAAACCGGTAGAATCACATCCCTGCATTTATGGGTGTTTGCAGTGTCTCATATTTACTTCCAGTTTCAGCAAAACCACACCCATAGTGAACCATTTGCTTAACAACTGCGGATTCACTTTAGCACAGTGACTGTCTTAACAACCACTGCAAAAAAGGTTGTAAAAAAAAATCATGTCATCAACCCAAGTTACGACTGTAATAAGCAGGCTCCACTACCGTCGAACTTTGAAGACTACCTGCAATCCATGTTTCTGTTCTGTTCATAACTCCCAACCTGCATGACCGAAGAACACCATAGTTTGGGGGTCATCAGAATTGCAGTCTAAGAGAGCAGCATTGCCCTGCAACAATGCTGCGTGCACACCTGTGCCTCACCTGTCCAAAAATGATCGTCTTTCCTGGGGCTGCAAACACATTGGTTGCAAATCATCACATCTTGTCCTCCCATCTAAGACCGATTGGACCACAGTAATGGGCAGCACAGGGGGCTCTGGACAGGGGTTGTATCCAACCAAAGGAACATCAGGACTGGTGAATGCAGCTTTCCTGTCCGGAGCAGCGGCTTCTTCCTTGATCAGCAGAAGATTGGTTTCCCTGGAACGATAAATAAGTTGTCTCCATATTCTGCCTTCCTTTGGTCCAACTCAACTGGCTCCAGACTCTTCCTCTTCCTAAGAACAGCCCAAACATGTCCCAATAACTGTTTTCATATGAAAACATCTGCAAGGATTGCGCAGAAGAACTTCGCAGGGGTGGCTTCCTACCTGTAGAGCAGGGGCCTCCAAACTTGGCAACTTTAAGACTTGTGGACATCAACTCTCAGCCAACATCGCTAGGAGTTGAAGTCCATGAGGCTTAAAGTGCTGGCTCATATTTAAGGGATTGTCCACTACGTCTCCAAAGTCTTCAGCGACATGATGTGCATGTCACTTTGATGTCCAGCTGAACTAAAGCAACCAAATTGGACATCTTGGCTGGAGATTTACGGGAACTGGAATCGAAATATGTATGGGGAAGAGCTATGGAGGACAACCAATGACGGATTTAGTAATAGGCTAACCTTGTTCCCTACTGGATGAATGGAAAAACTGATGGAACCTAGCCAAGACGGCTAAATTGACTGCTTTAACCAAAGACAAGAACACAACCAACTTCATTTTTACTTAGAAACCACTTCTGGATTTTATGCGCCAGGTGGAAACAAGTGAAACTTTAACTTTGGGTTGTGTTGATAAGTTTGTTGTTACAGACATGGCTTTAATACATATTAGTGCGTAAAAGTAAAAAGTTGAGGCTGTATTGTTTCTATCTTATTTTAATGTGCTAAAAAGAGTTAGAAGTCCATGTTTTCTTTCTCTTTCCCCCCCTTTTACACTTCTTTTATTTTTCCTCCCTCATTTCCCCACTATTTTCATTTAATGATTTACCTCTCACTGTCGGGAGGGAGCTGTAAAGCCACCGGACTGGGCTGGGCGGCTTCAGAAACATCAGAAATGATGGCTCCTCTTGGAACAGGGCTGTTTAAACATGAGGCAGGCTCTGCGGATGGCTACAAACAGGGAAGAGGGGGAAACACATCTTCAGGGAATCCTCAACTTATGACTATTATGGGCCTGCCCATTATGGTCGTAGGTCGTGACAATCGTAAAATGGTTCAATTCATGTGACAAACTTGATTTTACAACCTCTTTTAAAGAGTTAAAGAGTAAAAGATAACCTTTATTGTCATTTTTTACTGTGGGTACACTGGTACACATTAAAAATGAAATTCTGTTGCCTGCTCTCAAAACTACGCATACATAACACATATATAGACATGCAATATCTATTCTATATGTATTCTATAACTATCTATTCTATATCTATATCTATCTATTTATTCTATATCTATCTCTATCTATCTATCTATCTATCTATCTATCTATCTATCCTCTCTCTCTCTTTCTCTCTCTCTCTCGTATCTATCTATCTCTATCTCTATCTAT